TTCCCCTTGATGGACACATAATTGTAAAATGCCTTTGGACATGAATTATGGGATTTAGAATTTTGATGCCTTCCCCTAATTCTGTAGGTTGTACCCGTCTGAAGTGATTCCCAACAGGAATATGGTCTTAAAAGTCAGTTCATCCAGGGGGCCATAGGTTTGAAAGGTTCCCTGGACAACGCCCTTGTCACTAGGTTAAGTTTCCAGGTGAAAAAATGGTGAACCTGTGGAAGATTCAGCAGGGCAGCTCCCTTAAAGAACCTGACAATTTTTTTATTTTTGCCCCCCCCCCCGAAGGGGATTTTTTAAAATTTGCATTTCTAAAAAACAACACTACAAAACTACAATGAAAAGGGGAGGGAAAACTACAAACTATGGGAGAAAGAAAAAGAAGGCACTAAAAGCCCAAGTGTTGAAGGTTACAAACTGCTTATAAAAAAAAGATTTGTTACTCTTAACAATTACTTTCAGACATGAGGAGTATCATCAATCATCGCTTCAGTTATCAAAACTAGCTTATCTGGCTAGACAGAGAATAATTCCATAGCTAATTAAGAATCTGACAATTTTGATCGTTGGTGAATAGACCTACTTCTAACAAGACAAATCTCTGGCACAGTTTTTGAAAAATCTCTCTAACATCCATTCTAATTGGTCTAGAGTCCTGTGACTCAACCAGTTTGCCAAAGCATTGTCCTGTCCCATACATGTACTGCCTTTAGGGATTTGAGATGATTCTCTGCCCACTGAATCATCATGCATGCCTCTTTGTGAATCACCCTGGACCCCCCCCCCCTTGTCTGTTCACGTAGGCCTTGGCAACCATAGTCCGCCTGTACCAGGACATGGCAATTGGATAGAAGATATTGGAATTCCATTAGGTCCAGTTTGATGGCTCTGAGTTCCAATAGATTTATACTGTTGGTTGTCTCAACCAGGTGCCATGGGCATGGGCTCCCCAACCTGAGAAGCTTGCATCCATGGTCATTACTGTTCTCTTTGGTTCTCTGAGTGGAAGACCAACCTGAAAATGGGCTGGCTCCAGCCACCAACCTAACTCTTGCTTGAGGGTCTCTGGTAGTTTGGTTCTCTTGTATGCTATTACTTCCTGAAAAGGTAGTAGAAATCTCTGAAGAGGGCAAGTATGGAATCTGGATGATTGCAGTACATCCTGACAGGATACTATAATTCCCACGAGTAGAGCCAGAAGCATCACCTCTACTTTTGGACTCTTCAAAATCTGCATTGTCAATATTTGGATCTTTTGCTGTCTCTTGTGGGACAGAAACACTGTCCTGGATCGTATCTATGGATACTCCTAGGTGCACAATCATCTGGGTAGGAAGGAGGTTGCTTTTCCTCTCACTGATCACGAAGCTGTGTTCCTGGAGAATCTATACTGCATCCAGAGATGCGTCTGAGGCAAAAAACATTGCCAAAGCAATCTTCTTGAGTTCGTCTTTGAGCTCCTTGGGGAACTTGCTGCTTCCTGCTGCCAGGTCCAAAGCCCATGAGAATGCTGTCCTTGCACAAAAAAAAGGAGCCTTTTGCCGATGCTCTCAGAGCATTAGGTGAGGTTTCAGAGCTTGTTCAATCTTGTCACATGGGTCTTTGGCCAACCATCTGCCTCCACTGGCAAAACTGAGTTGGAGGCTAGGCTAGTTACCGAATTGTCCAATAAGGGTAGTTTAATTCTCTTAGCCGCCTCTGGAACTAGGGAGTAGAGAAAAGAGGGTGCCTCCCACAGCCTTCATCAGGTTATAAAAGGCAGCCAGGAGAGGGACCCCCGAAGGTGCCATTCCCAACTTAGGAAGCATTTTCTCCACTCCCACTGGAAAATCTGGGTCCGTGTCCTCCTTCCCTTTTGACTTTGGAGGATTCTCTTCTATGGTGTCTCCCTTGTCTGCCTGGGGGCTTTGCCTCTAAGCTGGTGCTCTGTCTGGATTCCTGAATGGCTTCTTTAATTTCCCTTCTCATTTTATTTATTTATTTTCTTAAATTTGTACCCCACCCTTTCTGCTGCGGCAGGCTCGGTAGCTAACAACATAAAAACACGATGTAATACATAAAATATAAAAACAGTTCATCAAACATTTCCATTCATAAACTCATTAGCATAATATCAAAGTGCTAGCAATTAGCTTATAATATCGAAGATGGTCTCATACATTCTATAGATCGACTTGATAATCAGCTCATTGATCTTTCGGTCTCAGTTTCAGTTGGTGAGCACAGGCTATCCGTAATAAACCAGGCACCAGGCTTCTATTATTGATAAGATGATGGTCTTAATGATCATAGATGGTAATATTAACCATGATAGTAGTGATGATAGTGGTGGTGGCTCCTAGTTGAAGGCCTGGTGGAAGAGCTCTGTCTTGCAGGCCCTGCAGAACTGCAAAAGGTCCCGCAGGGTCCTGATCTCCTCCAGGAGCTCATTCCACCAGTATGGAGCGGCCACCGAAAAAGCCGTGGCCCTGGTTGCAGTTAGCCTGGCATCCTTGGGGCCTGGAAGGGTCAATTGGTTTTGTGACCCTGACCGAAGTGCTCTCTGGGGTATATATGGGGAAAGGCTTTCCCTCAGGTATGTCGGACCCTGACCATAAAGGGCTTTAAAGCGAAGAACCAGCACCTTGAAGCGAATCCAGTATCAGCAGCCAGTGTAATGCCTTCAGGACAGGCTGGATGTGTTCCGTCATGGGGATACCCATCAGAAGCCTGGCAGCAGCATTTTGCACTAGCTGCAGCTTCTGGATTTGCAACAAGGGCAGTCCTAAGTAGAGAGCATTACAGTAGTCTAATTTTGAGGTGACCATCGGATGGATCACTGTTGCAAGGTCGTTGCATTTGAGGAAGAGAACCAACTGCCTAATCAGCTGAAGATGGTAAAAGAACAACTTGGCAGTGGCTGCTACCTGGGCCTCCACTGTTAAGGAGGTATCCAGAAGCACTCCTAACCACCACTGGTCCCAATGGTGCCCCATCAAAGGTCAGGAGTGGGATCCCTACCCCCAGTCCACTCCGACTCAGGCACAAAACCTCTGTTTTCATCGGATTCAATTTCAGTTGACTCAGTCTAAGCCAACCAGCCATAGCTTGTAACGCCTGGTCTTCTGGTCTAGAGCCAGACCGCCCGCCCAACATCAGATAGACCTGGGTGTCATCCACATACTGGTGACATCCCAGCCCATCACTCCGGACAATCTGGGCAAGGGGGCACATGTAGATGTTAAAAACATTGGGGACAGCACTGCCCCTTGAGGCACTCCACACTCTAGTGGGTACCTCTGGGAGAGCTGTTCCCCTAGCGCCACCCTTTGTCCCCAACCATGGAGGAAGGAGGCAAGCCATTGCAAGACAAGCCCCTGAACTCCTATGTCGGCAAGGTCAGTAACTGATGGTTGTCCATGTCGAACGCCACCGACAGGTCCAACAACAGTACTGCTGATCCGCCCTGATCTATATGCCTCCGAAGGTCGTCTGTGAGGGCGAGCAGTGCTGTCTCCATCCCTTGTCCCAGGCAAAAACCGGACTGGAAGGGATCTAAGATGGAAGCGTAATCCAAAATCTCTGTAGCTGCGTTGCCACAGCCCTCTCTATTATTTTCCCCAAATAGGCTGAACATCAACACTGACTGTATTCCACTATGACTGACCTATTATGTTTTTATGCAATATTATTATCGTCACTAGCACTTTATTTTATAATTTATGTAAGCCACTTTGAGCCTGCTTTGGCGGGGAGGGTGGGGTATAAATTAAAGAACAGAGGAAATAGTATTGCCATCCTTCTGCCCTATTCCTAAACATGAGGAGGAAAAGGAATGGCATTGCCTGGACTTATGTAGACCTTCTACTTGGTTAGAACCAGGGCTCTTTTTGTAGCAGGAACTCCTTTGCATGTTAGGCGACACACCCCTAATGTAGCCAATCCTCCAAGAGCTTACAGAGCTCTTCTTACAGGGGCTACTGTAAGCTCTTGGAGGATTGGCTACATTAGGGGTGTGTCGCCTAATATGCAAAAGAGTTCAACTCAAAAAGAGTCCTGATTAGAACTAAGTATTCTCAGTGGTCCAGGAGTGGGTCAGTCCTACCCACCCAAACGTTTTTTCGTGGGGCGGCTTCTAGGACCCGGGGGTGGGGGTGGTCTGCTAGAGAATTCTGTAGTAGTGTCCCTCAATGAATGAGTAAAGTGAAGGGACCTTAAGAGTATATCCACTGCCTGAGTAGTGTATAGATAGTTAATGGAGTTGATGTTACTGTTCTACATGTTATACTTCATTACGCCTTCAATCTGTTTGGAGGAGTTTTTTCTTTTGTTGTGGGAGGCATGGCTTGGAGATAGACTGAAGATTCCTGGGCAAGCCCCTCCCCTCGAATCAAATTCAGCTGCTCAACCCTGCTTCTGGAGAGGAGGAACCTAACCCAAGAGAGTGAGGACTGACACACACCTGGACCACCGAGAAGGAAGCTTCACAGTAAGTGAAGACAAATCTTCTGTTTTCAGCTGCACGGTAACTCTAACAAAGCTTACCATAAGAGATTAAAATGTGCTTATTAAGTGCTAAATTCACATCTTCAGGCACACCCACTGAAGGCTAGTTTAGGACTTGGAAAACCTTGTCTACTTGATTTATCCCACTTCCTAGTTCTCACCTATGTATTGTGCCTAATTTACTTCCAGTGCTACCTGTTTTCTTAAGCCCACTTCTACACAAGCAAGTATAACATTGAAACCATGCAGCCTTGTCCTGTGAATGTTCACTCAAGAAAAATACCTGATGGGGCAAAGTGACTTATTCCCAAGTAAGTATCCCCTGCCCGTCCAGCACCAGTTTGTTTGTCATAGCTTGAGGAATTGCCCATGGTCATAGAGTAAGACGACTAGGAGCATATGGAAGATGTGATGCTACGTGAAAGTCTTTTTTATTACAACATCTACTGAACACACAATTTTAAATGTAGACACATTTTTACATAATGTAGAACTTTCTTCTCTGAACTGCTTAGCTTTACCCATGGGAGTCTAGCAAGTCCTTTGCTAAGAAATTTACCTTTAAATAATTCCATTGATTTTAATCATTCCCTTAAGCAAAGTAGAACAGGACACCTAGAAACAAAATGCAACTTTCTGCACATGTACAGCATCTTTAGGTACACCGAGAAAGACAGGCAGCCCTGTCTCCGCTTCCAACGATCAAGGACAGTGCAAGTATGTTGTCCTGCTACAGCAATGAGAATCCCAGCAGCGGACCAAGACAAGGGTACAAGTTCTCCCTTTGCCCAGCAGCCAGCAGTTGTATATCATGGGGTTGGGAAAACAGATGCGCTCCACTCCAAAAAATCTTATACATAGATGGTTGGAGACAACATTTTAACACTTAAGCACTTCTGTGGGGAGAAAAAACTTTCTATCATAGCGGCTCACATTCACATGGTGAATACATGGGTTTGCATCTTATATAAAAGAAATATTTTGTCATTCTGAGACTTCAGCTAGTATTTCCAAAATAAATCAGAGTAGTGACTACGTGATAGTTTCAAACTGTCAGTTGTTCAACTTTTTTCGATGCCCAGGTGCTAAGGGATAGGGCCTTGGTTTGTAGCAATGCTTCTTGGCTACAATTGTCTGCTGGCTTCGTTCTTCCAGTTTCTTATGCTGCACTTCTATATGCATGTTCATTAGCACTAGGTTTTCTTTTAACTACAAAAAAAAGTTTAAACCATTGAGTTTAGGTAATATGAAACACAGAACACAAAGCTATTTTCGTATCAGTTAAGCAGCCTGCCTTGCCGTGAACAGTTAAACACTAAATCACCGTGTATAGTTTTACAATTTTTTATCTTTGTATGTTATGCTAAGTATGAATATTTTGAGTGTTTTTAGAGTAATGCATTAACAAGCATATAGCTTAATCATTAACAACGAAGCTCGACAGTACATACGGTAATATTTAAAGTAAGCATTAAGGTCTTTTTATAGCTGCAAAGCCCCAATATAATACAGTAATCACAAAAGAGAAAAAGGCAACTTAAGACAAACAGTGTAATAGTAAGCATTCCGTTTGCGTACTCTTCATCAGGTTTGTCTGTTGCTGTTGATTCACTGCAATCTTGAAGTACGGAAGGCTGCAGTAAAATAACATGCTTAATAAACTACATAAAACATAGAAAAGTTTTCCTTTGTAATAAAGAATGTTTCATAAACTCACCAGTATTTAAAAGTTTATTTTATTTATTTATTTATTTATTTATTTTAATTTACATCCCGCCCTCCCCGCACGCGGGCTCAGGGCGGCTCACAACACGAGGTGTAATACAGCACCACAGATAAAACAAGTAAGGCACTCAGTGCAATAAATATAGTTAAAACAGTTAAAACACAGTGGGTACTCCCAAGGAACAGTCGCAACTAATATACTTGCTCTCCATTGCAGATCACATGGGGCCAAGGAGGGGGATGCTGTGGGCCACGGTGTTCAAGGTGGCCAGTCAGCCCGACCCAGCGGTGCTGCTTGCAGTCGCCCGTTGGTGGTGGCGGCGGCGGCTCCTATTCGAAAGCCTGGTGGAAGAGCTCCGTCTTACAGGCCCTGCGGAACTGTAACAGGTCCCGCAGGGCCCTGATCTCCTCCGGGAGCTCATTCCACCAGATAGGAGCCGCCACCGAAAAGGACCTGGCCCTTGTGGCAGCAAGCCTGGCCTCTTTAGAGCCCGGGGTCACTAAACGGTGCTGTGACCCCGACCGAAGTGCTCTTTGGGGCCTGTATGGGGAAAGGCGGTCCCTCAGGTATGCTGGACCCTGGCCATGTAGGGCTTTAAAGGTAAGCACCAGCACTTTGAAGCGGATCTGGAATGCTATTCTTAATACTATTTCATATAACTCTGTTGGTGCCATGCTACTGCGTTTAATTTCTAGAAGAAAACAGACAAGCACAGTATACATTTTATAATTCTCTTCTAATGTGATATTCTATATGGATATCAGAAGTGCGAAAAACATATTGAGAGCTACTGACCTGGTGACTGGAAATTGCCAATATTAAACTATGATGTGATGAGATCTACAATACATTTTAAATGGCAGAACTTCCCTGTTGTTACTCTAAAAACATTCATACTTAGCATAACAAAAAGATTAAATTGTAAAACTATACATGGTGATTTAGTGTTTTACTTAATCATATACACCGTGGTCCTGTTTTTTTTGTAATTGCTGTGAACTAGCAAAATGTCAGAAAAACCTTAAGTCAGGCATTATCCCTTATAACTAAGCATTCTACTTTACAACAAAATATGCAGCCTTCAAAGACAATTTATACAGAACAAGTATTGATATGAACAGTGTACAAATAAAAAAGGAATCCAGAGATTTAGGGTGGAAGATTTTCCAGTGCTTTGTTTTTCTGTGGAAATACTTTCATTTTTAAAGATTCCTTGTTTCATAAAATTACTACCACTGAATGGCTGCCATTCCCAATATAATATTAGACAAGCAGAACAGTTCTAAAGCTATAATTAGTGTTTCTCAAGTGATTCTTGTATATGAGAGAATGAAACACTGGAGCTTACCTGAAGGTTTCTTCTTTCTCTTCAGTGGGGCAAAGTCATCCAAATTGGTTAGATCAGGCCTCCTTCTACTCCAGGCAGAAGTATGCAAATTTGTGTAGACTATATTGGCTCAGAGCGAGGCTGACCCTCCAGTCTTAGTATAGCCCAGCTCCATAACAGATTTTGCAGCTCACTAGATTTTTTTTTTGTGGTGGGGTGTGGATGACTGCCCCACTGAAGAGAAGAAGCCTTCTGGTAAGTTTCAATTTTTCATTCTCCTTCAGTGGGGGACTGCTTATATGACCAACCTACAACCTGGGTGGGATCCTCATTTTATTTTGTTCCACCACTGTGTTGCACACCCTTTTACCAGGTGAAGCTTCTCCAGATTTTAACTGGTCCCACCTATAGTGTCTCACACAGGTATAAAAGGTAGACCAGGTTGCAGCTCTACAGCCCTGGATTTTGAGACCTTTTTACCGACACACTGTGAGCTCTGAGACACAGCCATAAAATCCTTTAGCCTGATCTGTGTTGTCCTATTTAAGCCAACGCACAGAGCCCTGTGCACATCTAATTTGTGCCAGACTCTCTCTGGCATAGATATAGGACAAAAGAATGGTAGTACCAATTCCTGGTTTAAATGATAAGGGAAGATAACTTTGGCACAAAGGAAGGATCCATTCTGAGTACCACCGAGACCTTGTGAAATATACACAATTCCTTCCTAGCCCATAAAGCTCCTAATTCAGTAATCCTTCTTGCAGAAGTCATCTCTGCAAGAAAAAATACATCTTTGGAGAAGGCAACTATAGATTCTGATGATTTGAAAGGCTTAAATGGCAGTTTGCTCAAGGCCTGTAACACTTTAGGAAACCTATGCAAAATGGGAGGTGCCAACTGCATGGTTCTTTTGAGGAAATGCCTAATGTGCCTATGAGAAGAAAAAATTACGCAGTCTTTTGCAGTCCAGCATAGCAGCCAGTGCTGCAACCTGTGTTAGAACCTGATTCCAGCCTTCATGTAGAAAGTAGGTTTCAATGAATCCAGCTTTTTAGTACTGGCCCACTTTTAAACATAAGCCACATATGATTATAGAGATGACTGAAAGCAGGTTTTCTGGACTCCACCATGATGCCGACTACTTCTTGAAAGGCCCAATCCTTCTAAATCCACCCATTCAATCTCTAAGCTGTCAACTGAAGTCAAATAGGGTCCGGATCTGGAGAACCCATCTGCTTGGCAATCTCCACTGTGGAGATACTGACATCTTCACTAGTTCTGAGGCCCAAAAATACTTAGTGCCAGAAGGGAGTTACGAAAATCACTTCCACTGCCTCTTTTGATACCTTGTTCTTGCCTTCTGCCCTGGGATCGTAGAAACTGGTTAGAAACCTGGCAACTTGATTGTTTTTTGATGTTGTAAAAAGATCCAAGACAGGGATCCCAAAATGAAGTATGATTTTGCCAGAAGATCTTTTGGTTTAGACTCCATTCTCCTGAATCAAAATCCTTCCTGCTCAACCATTTGGCTAGGAGGTTTGTAAAACCTTATAGATGTTCCGCTTTCAGACCTACGAAATTTTATCCACACCCAATTGAACAGCATTTTGGACTCCTAGAGGACCATCACTGATCTGATGCCTCCTTGCAGATTGATGTGCATCTTGGCTGTAGTATTGACTGTGCACACTAGTACATATTTATTCCTCAATAGGTTCTGGAAGGCAATCAGTACTATTCTGATTGCCCCAAGTTCCAGCCAGTTCATTTCTTCCGACGGCGTCCATCTGCCTTGAACAAACTAATCCTTGCAGTGTGCTCCCCAGCCCCTTCTGCCAGAGTCCATAGTTACCATCAGGTAAGGAGACTAGAGGAAACTGACTCCCCTTGTCAGATTTGGTTGTAAAGACTACCAGCTTAGTGACGGGGGGCGGGGGGGGGCGGGGGGCAGTATCTTGACATATTTTTGCTCTTTTTAAAAATAGCCTTCTGATAAGGAAGAAGAGTTCATTGTAAAAGGCCTGCCATAGAAGCGGGCCCAAGGAACCACTTCTAGACTACTAGATCAGCAGCCCCAGTACTGCTGACCAGTGCATGAGGTCCACCAACCTCTGCTGGATTTCTTTCACCATTTCTAACTATTTTTACCTGCTTCTTTGCAGGTAGAAACACTTTGGCCATCCTCGTCTGAATCCTAGCCTCTAAGTGGACTGTGTCACTGGAGGGTGTAAGATGACTTTTTTTAAACATTGATCAGGCAGTCATGTTCCTGAAGAGACTGCATAGTGGGCTTGGTGTCCTTGCTCATCTGCCTCCTTGGCTCTGTGGAGGATATTGTCCAGGTCATAGATAGGCTATCAGAACTACCAGGACCTTTGTAAGCTCCCTCAGAGATTATGCCAGCCCAAAGAGTAAGGCCTTGTATTGGAAATGCTGGCCCCTGAACATCAAAAAGGAAAGAACTGTCTGGAAGGTGGGTGAACTGGAATATGGATGTAAGCATCTCAAAGGTCTAAGGACGTCATGGTATCATCCTGCTGACTACTCTGCAGAATGCAGCGAAGTGATTCCATCAGGAACTTGCGCTTCTTTATCACAGGTTCAACTCTTTTTTATTTAGAATTGCTTTCCAGTCCACAGATCTTTTTGGAAGTACACACAGGATGGAATAATGCCCATGGAAATACTGTTCTATCTGGTGTCCCTTCCGGATGATGGAGAATACCCACTAGTCAGTCATAAACCCCATCCAGATGTGGGGAAACTGCTGGAATTGACCCCCAACCATGTAGGCAGGTGGTTGCTCTTGTGGTTCCTGTCCAGTTTGTTAGGAAGGAACTGTCTCTGCTGAAAGGAGCTTCTAAAACCCTTCCCTCCCTAAAGTGGATAAATCTGAATTAGACAGAGGGTTCACCTTCCAATGCTTTAGCCATAGTATCCTACTAGCCACTATATAGGTGGCCTGTGCTCTGGGAACAGACGGACCGCTCCCTGTAGGCTTGGAAGCCACCAAGTCTGTATGTGGCGGGCCACCCACTACAATCTCCTCATGGTTCCTCGGACCCAGGTAGAGTTCTGCCAGAATATTCCAGCAGTTGGGGGGCGGCTGTGGAATGACCTGAAGCCTCAGGTCTGCTAGCACTGATGGCAGCT